TATTTTGTATTACTTGCTTATTACTATTTATTATTTTAATTATTGATTACATACATATTTATTACTAGATAATTTTTTTTATTTATTATTCATTTATATTTACTTATTTATTTAGTATAATATTACATATTCATATTTATTTAACACTTACATATTTGTTGCTTTATTTAAGTTTGTTATTATGTTTATTGTGTTTACTTGTGTTTGTTATTATTTACTACTTATTATGTATTTTATGTATGTATATATGTATGTGTGTATTTTATTTTCTGTATCTTTATATGTATTTAGTATATTATATATGTATTATACATTAATATTTAATACATTATATATATTTAATATTTAATACAGTATATATGAAAATACATTATATATGTATTATGTATATCTTTATGTATTTTATGTACTTATTATGTATATTGTAATTTTGCTTACTTATTATTTATGTATTTACTACTTGCTTATTTAATACTTATTTATTAATTATTTATTTCCTACTTATTTATGTAGTTATATATTATCAATGTATTTATTAATTGCTTTGTTACTAATAATTATTTCACTATTCATAACTTACTTACTTCATATTTATTCAATTTATTTATTTATTATATATATTTATAAATCATAAATGTTTATTAATTACCATTATTAATTGCATAATTGTATATTAATTGTTAATTGTATACATTTATTAATTGCTTAGTTCCTACTTATTTATTTATTGTTTATTACTTATTTTTTTTTATAAGATTTCTATCTAGATCCAGAGTGAATTGCAGTTAATTTAATAGTAATATCATAATTGGAACACTTACAAACATCTTTTCTAATGATTTCTTACCCACTTCCACATTCTCGCTTTCGAATTGTCACGCGAGAACAAGCTGTTCCCTTTACGTCCGGTTGAGATACCATTATTTCCGCCTTCGACCATTTCCACAATTTCAACAATCGTCCGTCCCCTTTACAACATCGCGACGAATCTATTTCTGCAATCACCGATCCTACGAAATATTCTGTTTTTCCTATTTTGTACACCGTTAGTGTCGAATAATCAAATATTTATTTCTCGTCGACATTTTTTATCGCTTGAACTTTTGCCAACGTAACTAGAACTTTTATTTCACTTTCACCGAGGGTGAAGAGGTCAAAATTGTATCACATCTATCTTTCTCCTAATTATAAAATACTCGTTACCGTGAAACGTGTGGTAATGACGAGGGTCACACGGGTGAACTGACACATGTCATTGCTACCTTAATTGTAAACTATTCAAAAAGATTGTTTTATTCGATTGCGCAGTGACGCATGCGCATTCTACAATTCCATTATTCCTTTTTTAACATATAAAACTTTCTACTAAGATTTTTATGGTATTCTCTTTTTATAATAAAATTTATTTTCACTAAGAGAATACCTTGCTTGCTTATGTAGATATAAATTTAATAAATTACAATTATCTGTCAAACAATATCGGTTGAATGAATATTGACACATTTGGCGCGAAAACATTTTCTTTCAAAATTTGTATTATCTTTACTTTAAAATGTTAGACGAAACAATTTTTAGAATATTCTTCGCACAAAAAAATTTACTTTAAATTAAAAACTTAATATATTAAATTGCTTTAGTTTAGGAGAAATTTTAATAGATTGAAATTGTATGTGAAAGATAATATTTGTCAAGTGACCATAGTGATTCTTTTGGCGGGAAAATATTCTTTTTTCAAAATCTCCAGTAATATTTCATCTTTACAATAGGAAACGATTTATGTGTTAACGGTGTACACATTATAAAATAATCTTGGATACTAATTAACATCCCTATTTCATAAGATAACATCCTGTGAAGTTCCTCTAAACTTCAGTCGTGATAAATCGATTGTTTCGCCGACTGTATGACATATGGCGCCGCTCCACGCTGCTTTGTTAAAGCCACATGTCCTCATAAGTTCGTATTACTTGATTAAAATTGTACTGAATTATGACCATTAATAATTCCAATTACCACACATACCAATAAATAATTAGAAAAATTGGAAAACATTACTTAAAAAAAAGGACGCTGCTGGAAAACTTTATATACAATATAACCTTAATTTTAATAATACGTAATAATTTATTATTAAAATTATAAAATTGTCATGAAATACATTTTTATATAATGTAAAAAATATAGTAACTATAGTTTATTAGTACTTTCTCTTGTTCCCTGTAGTTTTGATGTGAACTTCCGCGAAAAGAAAAAAAGCGGGAATTTATTGAAATTTAAAATAGTTATATCAAAACGCTGAAAAAAAGGAAAAGGAAAACGCTGAACAAAAATTCTGTCGTTTAGAAACAATTTTCTGTATTATAATACGAAGCAAGTGATAAAATATTCTCAAGCAAAATATTATGCTACTTTCCGAAAAGAAATAATTAAGATTAAAAAGATTTGTGTTTTTAAAATGAATACAATCAGCGATGTCAATTACTGCGAGTAAGTAATAAGCTGAAGTTATGTAATGCTTGGCTATATAGCGAATGGTGATATAATTTGGTTGCGTGCTGATATAACACAAAACTATACAACGCGTGGCGATATAATGCGAGGTTTTACAACGCGTGGAGATAAAACTTGAAAATATACAACGTGGTGATAGAATGCAAGGTTATACAACGAATGGCGATAAAAGGCGAAATTACACGACGAGTGGCGATATAATGCGAGGTTATATAATGCGTGAAGATAAAAAGCACAACTATACAACGTTTGGGAAGAGGAAGCGAAGTTCTACAACGAATGGTGATAAAACGTGAAATTACACAATGCGTGGCGATATAATGCGTGGCAATATAATGCGAGGTTATGTAATGCGTGAAGATCAAAAGCGCAATTGTACAACAGAACACAAAGTTATATACTAAATGATAATAAAACACAAAACCATAGTTAACACATGAAGGCAAAGCACAAAACTATGTATCTCACAACGCGTGGCGATATAACGCGAGGTTACATAATGCGTGAAGATAAAAAGCACAACTATACAACGCTTGGAAAGAGGAAGCGAAATTATACAACGAATGGCGATAAAACGTGAAATTACACAATGCGTGGCAATATAATGCGAGGTTATACGACGCGTGAAGATAAAAAGCGCAATTGTACAACAGAACACAAAGTTATATACTAAATGATAATAAAACACAAAACCATAGTTAACACATGAAGGCAAAGCACAAAACTATGTATCATGTAGCTATAAAACACGAGGCTATGTGGCGATAAATTGCCAATTTACTTGATAAGATAAAATGAGTGTATCTGAAGTGGTGTTACTCTAGGAACTCTCCCTTCTGGACCAAATAAATCTGTCTTAAGATTGTTACTAGTGGTAATTCGTAGAGGTTAAGTATAGTTTTCGCTCTCCTCGATAGATCAGCCGCATAAGTTTTCTATACACAACGCGTGGCAATATAATGCGAGGTTATACGACGCGTGAAGATAAAAAGCGCAATTGTACAACAGAACACAAAGTTATATACTAAATGATAATAAAACACAAAACCATAGTTAACACATGAAGGCAAAGCACAAAACTATGTATCATGTAGCTATAAAACACGAGGCTATGTGGCGATAAATTGCCAATTTACTTGATAAGATAAAATGAGTGTATCTGAAGTGGTGTTACTCTAGGAACTCTCCCTTCTGGACCAAATAAATCTGTCTTAAGATTGTTACTAGTGGTAATTCGTAGAGGTTAAGTATAGTTTTCGCTCTCCTCGATAGATCAGCCGCATAAGTTTTCTATCGGAGCGTGAAAATTGCATCTTGTCTAAAGACACGATAAGCTCGAGAGAACGGGGCCGAACTAGATCAATGACGATGGTCTTTGCTGCCATTTATTTCGCTTATTTGCCGGAGAAAGCTACGCAAGTTTACCAACCGTGTGACTCATGTGAAATCGTCTATGCAAAACGCTTAATTCTGTGTCACTTCTACATCCGGTGCACCTTAGTCAAAGAAAAAAGAATGATTTGTCACCTTCTCTTGGAATTTCACTTTTTAAACACAGAAGTACTGTTACACTGGTGATTTATCAGGATAAAGCGCATACCAATCGTTCAATAATGTCTTTTAAAATGCGTGGTGAATTTCACCTACAATTGAAAATGATTGTACAAGAACTATTACATATTTTTTAACCTATCTAGATGAAGTTTATAATGTTGAATCGTAAATTTTAGATTTCTATCTTAAATTCGAATTTAATAATTATAATTTTATAAATTAAATTATTTTGATAAGAAATGCAATTAAATGACGTGTAAATTTTTTATAAACACAAAATTATACTAATAACAGTCTTAAATTGAACGATTTTCCAGATAATCAAAGTTAAAGAGTACAACACTTTTCTTCTACTTAATGCTGATAGCGAATAAAATTATATAGCTTTTTAATGGCGTAATTATACAAAAGTGATAGAACATAATTACTAACGATAATATAGCAAACTATTAATCTCGATAATTCGCTAAAACATAGATATTTCAGTTTCACCGTATTAAATTGACTAATTACACGACAAATTTATCGGAACGAGATAATATACTTATGTAGTCTGCATATAAGTATGCATTAAGAATATAGTACGTCGTGAAAGTAGATTCGCTAAATTAAAAAATGAAATTTCATTTTTATCAATTATATGATTATTATACTACGAATAATTATTTACTTAGTTACACAAGTAAAAAATAACATTTTGATTTAGTTAAAATATTCGAATGTTCGTTACAACCCTAATATTAACCCTTTAAAGAATAACCGTTTGACGGCAGCGCAATATGGCGGTTACATATGCCAGCAAAACCCATAATTATTTAAATTTGAATTAAGTATATGATTTTTTCATTAAAGAATGTTAACCATTTAAAAGATAAATGACAAAATAATTAAAATATTAAATTAAATTATGTAAGTGTAAATATATATATAAATTCTTCTTAGATTTTTAGAAATAAATAAGTGATAATTCAAATTTTCGTAACAGTCTTTTGAAGATTTAACGCTTGAAGGCAGCACAGTACATGCACGCGCTTGCGCATGGGCAACAGACTGCGCATCCATTTGAATACCAAACTTTTATAACACGTACTATTTCACTAATTCTACTACATAACCATACTATAAATTCACTATTTTACTTCTCCACAATACTGTTGCCTTATTATTCTACATTCTGTCTTACTGTCTTATTATTAAACGTTTTATTTTACTTTTCATGTAAAAAGTACCCATTGTACTCGTAAAATAAAGAAGTTGTAAATTTTATAATGTAGCATTGCACTTTGGTAGAAGTTTGACTAAATATCATGCACTTTAAACGTCCTAAGTCATGTACTTCTACTTTAATTATAACATCCGTTAAAAATTGTATGAATATTCCTGTAAAAATGTTTCATTACAAATCCCAACATCAAAGCACCAAAATATGGAGTTTGAATTTGACGCCATTTTTGTACCGCGCACTTAAGCGCCATGGTTGACATACATGCAACTAAAAGTAATAATTTAAACAGAATATTTCTACAAACCGACAATATGTAAATTTATATCACTTTGCGATGTCAATGAAGTTATAATTCATAAAATTGTTAAATAACTACTAAAGTAACTAATGAAACATAAGAAAGATATTTAGTACTTAAATTCTTGTAGCAATGGAAATTAACAATTACATTTTTCAATTCTTGCATCAATGTTAAACTATTTCGAATCTATTTCAATTTTGCACTTAATACAATAAAGTTAACTAACAATAAGTAAACGAACAGTAAGAAGTTTTTTAATTTATCAATAATGAATCAACATATACTTACAGTCAAATCTCCATAACTCGGACCTCTATTACTCGAAAAACTAAAACTTTTCTCACTTCTTTTCCACTTCATTGCAAAAACCTGTATATGTAAAAATAAAATTGATTTTAACTCGAATTACTCATTACATGTCAAAACACAATAATTTACCTCTGTGACTCATTGTCAGATTGGAATAGTCTGACCTCTATAAATCGAAGTTTGCTTCTGTACCTCTATGGCCATTGCCTCTGTAATTCGAAGTTTATAGTTATATATTACAAAATATTAAAAATTAATCATTCGATATTTCTATCCTTTAACTGTTAATTCACCTTAAAATTATTTAATTATTTTTATTTAAGCGGATGATTCTGGAAAATTCTTAACCTCCTTACATAGCTTCTGTATATCGAATTTTTAAAACTCGATAAATCGAAACCTCTATAACTCGAGGGTTGTAGTTCTTCCCTTGAGATTCGAGTTATTAAGATTCGACTGTAGAATATACATATGTATAACACGATGAATTAGCCAATGAAATATTTATTTTAATTCAGCTCCTCGAAAAATATTACTTTTTTAATTTATAAATAAACTTTTAACGATTCAAATGAATTTACTTTTGAAGAATTATACACACAACACGTGTCTTCCCTAATGCAAATTTATTTTAATTGAAAAATCGGTAATACAGAAAATGTCGATAAAGAAGAATGTACTTTAGAAAATGTCAAAATCGATTGAACCGCCATATCCACGTGATCGCCACACCATCTATAGAACAACGAATGCGTGCACGTTCTTTTTTTAAAAGCGATCGTAAAAAGAGATAGTAACTGATTCGAAGCCAGAAAGCGCATACGGTGTCACGTGGGTAGGCGCTCGAAGCGCACATTCGAGAGAAACCTGGCGCCCTGGTGGCGGTCTTTCGGGCGGCCATATTTTCTCTCGTGAATTTCAGTCACGAAGGTGGTGGTTCGCTAACAATTTTTGGGATGCGCCGTTCGAAGACGTTCTCGCGTGTTTTATACTCTTAAATAAGTGAACAGTGCCAATCATGGCTAAGAGGGGTAACAATTTGACTGGAAAACGGTCGTCGTCGCATAATACGAAACCCTACGACGCAAACAATGTGAGTATTCTCTTCTTGGCACGAGTCCCCTGCGATAGAAAACGAACCTGAACCTGCTTCGAGTTCAACGGTTGTTCGCGCCTTATCGCTAAAATTGAATCCCTCGACAAATTTACAGCGTTTATCAATTCCTTTTTAAACTATCCTCGATACAATTGCCCTTTTCGTAAGATGCACTTACGCTGGACCCACACGATGTCACGGTTATGTGAATCTATTCGATAACCTCAATCTTTCCCATACTGTTTCACTGACGAGATATCTATCGAATCACCTATAACATGTAACCTTGAAACGCGATTCCGTATGAGGAAAATCTTCAAGCAACTTAACGCACAACTCATTTCTGATGTACTTGCATCTCGAGAAATTGATATATTATTTTTACACTTGTATCCGATCGAAAAAAATACACGCGTGACTTTCAAAAATCATCTTTTGCGTATATTTATGCAATATTTCGTAATCTTGTATAAAGATCTTTCTTTATAATAAGAATAATGATCAATCAGTTTACATGAACTAAATTAATGCATAAGCTAGTTCATTCGTCTATTGAACATTTTAACCTTAATTCTAAGATCAACGTATTTTTTTTATAAACTATTCTTGTTGTTATATTTAAATATTTTGCATTTTTTGGTGAAAATATTATTTCAATTAAAATATCATGATAGAAGCATTAGTTGCTTTACCTTCTATTCCCTTTCCAATTATTTTTATTTCTGGTATATTAATACCAGAAATTATTGTATGATTCTCTTAACAGTAGCATTAATTAGAACTATTCACTATTATAATATTAAAACAAAGAAAGAAAACTAAATTATGTCTATTTTGGGTTTCATCAAGGCTGTCACCCAGTTAATAGCGCAGCACGTGCACGGTATTAAGTCAGCACCATTATATTTTGTTAATTATATGTATTTTATAAACAATTATATCGCATTGATATGTATATTAATAATATGAATGTATCAATGCTGTACCGGTATTACACTATTAACACATTTGTTACAATTCGTTTTACTATAGCATGAAGTTTGTTATTGCTTATCTCAATAGTTCGCTGCATAAGTCCTAAGGTATATTTTCATTCAACTTCTTTGTGAGCATTTGCCTACTCTGAACGCATGGATTACAATAACTGTCCCTAATCCTTGACTATGTACATTATTATCGGAATCAAAGAAAATTCAATCATATTGAAAATATTAGTCAATTTTATGACATTTAAACTATAGAAGCATCATCATGTGGCAGAATATTCTGTGACATATATTAGACCTATAAAGAAGTTCTATGTGTATGAAACACATAAATGCTATTTATTGGTATGGTACTCATTATAAATAGCTATACACAAATTCTGCTTGGTTATCACTTTTCAAGTTAAAAATAGAATTCTTTAATCAAATGATCTAGTATCAAGTAACTTACTATGTTCCACTAGCTTTCAGTCTGTTTTGTTTACTCTATGAAGAGAAATAAGGCTCATGAAATTCTTACAATACCTACTTTCCTGCATATTATTCAGCGTATGAATCCAACCTGATAAATATTAACCAAGAAGTATCATATCTTAAATAGGGCTCTTTCTCCTGACTTAAATCATTATCCTCAAAAACTTAAAACCAGTATTGACTAAACCTTTAATATTCATATTTTCAGTATTAGATAATATAGATTTTGATTTGTAACTTTGGTTTATTATTTCCTTACTAAACTTACAAAGAATGCAGTGATATAAATAAATCTTGTTTTATTTTAAACAAGATATTTTATTTAATATAATCCTTAACAAATAAGAGAAAAAATCTCAATGCCCATAAGAAGGACATAACTTGTCAGCAGATCTAATATATAAATAATTTAAGATACTAATAATAACACTATGAACTTATTCGCAGTACCAATTTCAAATATATAGGTCCAAAACATGGTAAAAGAACGTAATATTTGTTTTCATATTACAAGACTTTTATTAAACTGACCATTATAGGTTTGATTTATTAGTATATCATTGGTTGTGAATGGGTTAATAGGTTTTAACTAACATTATAGAAATAAGTAGTATATAAATTTAGTCAATACCCTTCTATTTATTTCTTCTGTATTCCAGTCTTTTGTAAAAAAGGTGGCAACAAAGGTAACGGATTTGATACCGCAAAAATCGTGGATTAGCAAGTGGTTTAACTCATCTCAAAGTGATGGAGATGTATTAAATAATTCTGAGAGTCCTGAGGAGGTTGAACCAGAAGAAGATATCCAGAAACCTCCGCCTTTAAAACGACCATGTATTCGCATGGATGTTACTCATCCACCTGGCACATTCTCGATTCAACCAAGAACCAAATCCACGATTAATAAAGCCAGTCCATCTAAACAACAATGTTCAATAAACAATGAAATGGTAAAGATAATTTATAAAAATTATGCCAATTTAAAAACATTTTCTTCAATTAGACATTTATTGCAGTCCGATGACTTCTGTAAACCTGCAATGGCTGGACCAAGTGGGATGGGACATCTGGTATCTTCTACGCCTACAACGCATACAGATATTAGAAACATAAATCCTCAAAGGTCCGAGTTAAATTCACTAGTTACTACTACAAATAATGGAACTACAAGTGGTATGGATGATAATTCTGAATCCAGCGAAAGTACCAGTGGTTGTAGCTCTCTTATACCACAAACAAATAGACAAGAGGCTCCGTCAAATGTCTCTTACAGCTCCCCATTCTCCACTAGAAAAAGATTTAACGACGACAAATTAAGTTTCACTAATCGTGTGCAGTCTCCAAGGTCTCTATTTTTAGATAATAATACTCGAGATTCTTTAAGTAGTCGTAGACCAAGTTTTAACGCGTCAATTGTCACAAATTCGTCGGACCATGCATCTCCCTTGTCATCTCCTTTTTACAGTGGAAATACTACTTATGGTGGAGCAAATGCAGCTGGCCTTTATAAACGAGGTCGCTCTTTGTTTAATAACTCAAATGACATTCAACTTAAAGTTCCTAAAAGAACATGCGTTGAAGTAAAGCCATCTAATGCAACAGGAGTTGATTCGTCTGGTATGAGTCAAACTGCTAAAAAAATATTAGAAGCACTGGAACATTTTTCATCGCCAATAACTGATGCTAAAAAGATTCCATTAAAAACGAATAACACATCACTAATGAATAAAAAGAGATCGAGAGAAGAGACTACAACACCATCAGCCAGAGTTGGATTACGTCATTTAACTCGCGAATTAACTGTACCAACTGTGCCAGACATATTAAAATTAAGACAACGTAAAAAGTTACAAGATACGACCGCCGCGGCTAGGAAGATCATTTCTGCCCGAAACGAACCACCGCCTCTGCAAGAGTATCATCTCAGAACAGAAACTGACGATGAATCGAAGCCTCAAGGTAAATTAAAGAGTAAAGCAGGAAATCTTGACCAGGAAGAAACAGTTCAACCAGTCAATTTACCAAACATACCTTTGCCAATATCTTCTTTACCTAATTTCAATTTTATACCACCTTCTAATCCGAAAACAAGTGATAAAATTGATACAAGTACTGAAGACACTTTTACATTTGCAAGCCCTATAAAAATAACAAATGTTACAAAGAATTTAAAATCCATCAATAACTTTACGTTTAGTAGTCCTATTAATGCCGAGAAACAATCAATTGATAAATCCAATGATTCAAATTCACCTTTAAAAGCAGCTAATATTAAATCCAATATAGTTTCTAGTGAATGTGTATCTACGGTAACCCAAAATTTTGTTTGGTCTGGATCATCTACGGCACCTAGACCGAAGGAGAAAGTGAAAAGTAGCAATGCTATTCCTGTTGTATCAAATGAACTGAAATCAGGAAGTGTCATGGATGTTCTCTGTTCCAAGCCTAATAAAAATGAATCTGATAAGTCAAATGAAATAAAGACATCGTTAAACTCAACTAATAATGAAACAAATGTAAGCAAAGATGACAAAAAACCATCAAATTTGAACTCTGACATACAACAAGAAAATTCAACTTTGTGGGAATGTTCTGAGTGTTTATTTAAAAACAACAGCACTGAAATGTACTGTTTTGCTTGTAAAGCTAGTAAATTAAATAATAAGAAGAACAAAACGAATGAATCAACAAAGAATATCACAAACGAGTCGAAAACCACTGTCAATTTTGGATCTGAATTTAAACTTTCAAGTAGTCAGTGGGAGTGTATATCGTGTTTGGTAAGAAACAAACAGACTGATAATAATTGTGTTGCATGTGGTACAGTTAAACAAAGTACGAAGCAAGAGACTAATGTAACAAAATCAGTAAAATCTGATCTCAGTGATGAAAAATCCTTAGAAAAATCTGAAAATTTAACTGAGTGTTCCTCTCAAAATGTATTTAATTCAAGTTCATTAAAGAGTCTTCAAAAAGATACTAATACTGCTAATAAAACAGATACAATTACAAGCCAAAATATTGGCTCAGAATCACTCAGTAGCTCAAATTTGACCAAAAATGAAACTATGAGCAGTGTCAAGCCAAACAAAGATACCTGGGAATGTCCTTGTTGTATGGTTAGAAATGTTACTTCTGTTGATTCTTGTCCATGTTGCAACACAAGTAAGCCTAGCACCGGGGTTGCACCTAAAACTGTTCCACTCTTACTTGCAAATGGATTTGGAGATAAATTTAAAAAACCTGAAGGTGCATGGAACTGTGATACTTGTATGTTACAAAACGAAGCAAAAGTTACTGAATGTGTAGCTTGTGGTGGATTAAAACCAGGTTCAAAGAAATTGGACACTTCAAAGACAAATACAAGCACTACTTCCAATTTACAGTTTAATTTTTGTATGCCTCCAAATGCTGGTGGTTTTAAATTTGGTATAGATAAAGCTGATCAAGAAAAGACTGATCCTGTAGCGCCTACCAATGGTTTTAAGTTTGGTGATAACCAACAAAGTAGTCAGGTTGGGCAATTTACATTTGGCATTCAAAAAGAGGAGAAGAAAACGGTTGATGATACATTGAAATCTGAAAACAGTGCCTCATCTTCTACGGGAAGTGGATTTGGATTACAAGTTAATACAAGTAACAGTGATAAGACTGATGTAAAACAAAACTCAGAACAGGTAGAAAAAAGGCCAGCACCATCATTTTCATTTGGAGTACCAAAAAGTGAAAGTGAATCAACAGTGAATGATAAGCAATCTCTGACTGCAACGACCTCTAAAACACTTCCAGTAACATTTACATTTGGTGTACCAAATCCTAAAATTAACGAATCAGATGCAAAAGAAGCGAAACAAAGCACTTCGGTTGAAAGTACTGCTACAGAGATTTCAAAAACAAACACACAAACTAATCAATCACCTGTTGTTAGTAGTACCAGCACGTTACCTTCAATAAGTCAAACCAGTGCACAACAAATTAAACCAACCACTTCCTCTTTATTTGGAGTACCAAGTAGTACAGCTACAGTTAATAGCAGTTCCTCTACAAATGTAGTATCAAGTCTTCCGTCTTCTACTCAACCCTCCTTCACGTTTCTTGAAACAAAACCAGCTGTACAAACAACATCAGCACCAACCTTTGGTCAAATATCTGCACCAGCTTCTACTTCTACTTTACCTACTACTTTTGCGTTTGGAGAAACTAAAACAACAGAAAGTTCTTCAGTAAACAAAACTTTTAACGCATTGCCAAATGTTACTACTGGTGGAAATTCATTATTTTCAAACATTTCCAATGCTCCATCACTGTTTAGTACTAATGATGCAAAGAATACATCAACACTTGGTACAGAAGAAAATAAACAACCTACATTTGATATAAACACAAATAAACTTTCTACCTTTGCTGTGCCGGAAACTAAAGTACCAACATTTGGTAGTACAGAAAACAAACCTTCAATTTTTGGATCATCTGATACCAAAATGCCTGTGTTTGGAAATACAGATAAAACAGCCTCACCATTTAATTCAACTCCTCAAGCACCAGCAGCTACACCCTTTGGCGTGGCATCAGGTACACCAAATCTTTTTTTTGGATCGTCTGCTACACCTAATTTCAGTAATAATACACCTTCAACATTTACTGCTGAGTCTACGCCCAATATATTTGGATCTTCCTCGAAGCCAGGTCAAAGTAATACATCAAGTTCAAATTTATTCACATTTGGTAGTACTTCTAATCAACCGGTAGCACAACCAGGATTCAATTTCTCAACAAATACTAATCCGGCTGAATCAACTCAGAAACCATTATTTACATTTGGTAGTAGCTCTACTGTTCCGCAAAGTAGTAATTTATTTGGAAATACGTTCAATAATACTACACCAGCAAGTAGTTCTGGATTTACATTTAATGCACCTAAACCGGAAACACCAACATTCGGTCAACCAACTGCTGCAACTCCGATTTTTGGTACACCACAGGCTGCTACTCAAAATCAACCGTCATCATCATTTTCATCTACCCCTTCGAACACAGGGTTCAATTTTGGATCTTTTGGATCAGCACCACCACCACCTGCATCTTCAGGAGGTTTCAGCTTTGGTGCAATGGTAATTATAATAATAAATATTTAATAATTATTGTAGTTGAATTTTTATTTTATTATATTTAAATTAATTTTACTGTTTCATAGGCACATGCTGCTGCACCGTCTACAGGATTTAATTTCAATCCACCTAGTAATACACCAACGTTTGATCCCTATACCCCACCATCGTTTAACTTCACTGGCGGAAATGCACCTCCAACATTCAAGTACATATTTATATCATTACATTAACTCGTTTAAATATTGTACTATTGAACATAATAGCACATTTAGAATCATGAAAATATCACTTTTTTTTTTATTAGTAAAGACTTTATTTATTACAATTAGCTATGACATTGATAGTGTATTTCAATAAATATAAACTTGTTTATTTATCGTAAACTATTACCTTTTGTTTCAGTGCTACACCCACTTTGTTGCCGCAAAGAAAAATCAAGAAAGCTGTTAGAAAATTGCGGTAGAGGAGAAGTAATGTATGATCCTAGTTGCATATGTACCCGGATTGTATTTTTATTTCTATTTTATGCAACCGTGTATGTGAATATGTCTTTTACGCTAAAAGTTACAGTATGATAAACAGTGAAAAATATCATATACCCAATCGATCACATTTAACGTGGTGGTATACCAAGCATTTTATGTAATATACTAATTTGCCAATGGGGTATGCTTGCGTACAACCACTTGTGTTCTACAGGATCTGTAAATTATAAATTATTTAAATTATATAATAATAACGAATGACACATTAACATTGGCATGAAGCCACTTTTGCAAATAAGACAGATCATAATGCCATTGCATTACTAATACCTTGCCCAAATAAGACATTGTGTGCGTTTACTGATACGACAAGTTAATTTCATGAAATGTGAGAATACCTCGATAAAAAAGAAAAAAAAACTTAATAATGCACTACATAAGTGCAGTTTATTGAGGAAAACAAGTGGGAATGTATCCCTCAGGTAAGTACAAGTCATTCACAACTCGTGACAATGTTTTTGTAATTGAAGAAAAAAAATGTACTGAACACTGGTGAAATAAAACGATTGAAAATTATTTTTTTGTAAAAGAAAACAATGTTGCAGGAAATTGCAATGATGTTATATGTAACACTGGAATGTATGGTAACTGCGTTATTGTTACCTGGCTAATTATTTTTAACAAATTCCGAATACACGATTTTACATTGTCAGGTACACGAATTCGATGGAGCTTAACGAGAAGTGAATGAGTACATAGTTAATAAAATTATTTTATTCATTGTTTCTATCAATTTTTTGCACGTTACGAGTATTGTGAATCGACTGAATATCAATGAATCCCACTGCGTATAGACATTAATTATATTTTAATTAGCATTTTGTGGACCGTTCTACAATCTTTGTAGTACTAGTCCAGGGAAAATGTATCATATATAAAAAAAAAAAATGGCATTCGGATAGTACAAACTCACGATTACTGAACAATTGCATCGAGTAGTCGAAATTGTATATTTTTTTTATATATTGAATGAAACTAATCCTATAATACTGAATGCCATTTTAATAGAATTAAATTATATAGTAATGTTGCGTGTTTTACCTTAGAATGAATGAAAAAACGAATCAAGGAATACCTTGAATGGATATAAATTATTATGGGACTTCTAAAGGGTTACCTTTTTTTATTTGTTAATAATAAGGAGAATGAATGTCCTTCGAAATACCAATTACAAACTTAGCAAGTTTATAGGGGATTCTGAAAGTAACAATTTTGCAAAATCATAACTCGCACTTCTCTAAGAAGGAAAACTCACATTGAAAGCTTTGTAATTCCTATGTAACTAATGAAGTACGAAAAAGAATTTTGAAAATCTGTAAATTTTAATTATTGAAAATTTGAAAACTTAAAAATTGAATAACGTTTAGTTTACCAAAGTTAACACCATAGCTGAAAAACTTTAGACCCGTTTTTTATTTCAAAGAAATGCATGCTATGGTTTTACAAAATGATTATTTTCCAGTCTGGTATAATTATGCTAAATTTGGATCAAATAAATATTTCAAAGGTCGTGCGCTCTCCTTGTAAATCAATCGTATTTTTATAGTTAGTACAATTGCGTACATTGTTATTACTTCTGCAATTTAAATTATGAAAACGTATCACTCTGTACTATAAAAAAAAAACCGAATATATTACGATAAAACTGACTATAAATTACAAAAAATTAAATTGCTACCTGTCAAATAATGAATAACATGAGAAACTATATTTCTATTTGTATGTCAAATTCTGTTCGTTTTCAATTACTTCTAGCTTCTTTTTTTAGTACTTTTGTATTTTACTATTGACGGAATTATAGATTTTTACAATGAGTGCAATTTTACCAAGAGTGATATTAGTTTCAATAATTGTAGGTATAGTAATACTGTTTTCGAGATACTAAGGAACTGTAAAACAGACATTCTTTTTAGAAGTCCCTAAAAGCAGAAAGTAGTTAGTCGACGTGTTAATGATTAATGAATTAATATGAAATCGTGCACGTCCTATTTAAGACTAGGATAGTTACATCTATAATGTTGGCTTAAAATTGACAGTAGCCAAGAATAACTCGGCACAAGACCCACCTTCTGCCATAATAGATACATAGGTACAAAAAACAACTCTGTTACATATTGTTACTTTGTATGTTGTATAATATTTACATTGTAGATTTTAAGGCATTTTTAGTTTCACTGCGTACATACTAAGAAACAAGGATAACAAAAAAAAAGCCTTGATTTCATGTGGATAATTTACAAATACCCTTCGTAGTTGTTACCTATCTGCTACGCTACAATAATATTACTAAGTATGTAAAAAATGATTTTGTTTTTATATAATTCAAATTATATCTATGGATAAAAACATAAGAAATGATTTGTGTTTATTCGATATCTGAAATTGATTAGTTTATACATACAGTACCTCTTAATCTATTTGTCATGTAAAAAAAGAAAGAGATCTTGTCTACGAAGGGTTCTTCCGTACATAGTTGTATTGCGTAATTTAAGAAATGATAGATTTGTATAATAATTACCAGCAGAAGCACTAACCAATGATAAAGTGAGGCTGCGCTGAGATATGTCTATGCTGCTGTCTTACACTGTGAACATTCTCTGTCGAGGCTGTGTTGTCCATTTGTCTATCCCCTAGACAAATTTCCAAATTAATAAATATATCAAATACTGACCTAAAAGGGGCAGTATCTTTGTATTAAATCTCGTATATGGCCTTAAAATCACATAACGAGCGTATGATATAGATGTATTAATGATTGTAAAACAAATCATATTGGAATTGTTTTGTAGCAGTTTGTACTCTCCATTTGCAATATGTTTGCATAAATACTTGAAGAGCACTACATTAAAATCATTCAACAATAGACATACAACATTTCATAACTTGTAAAATATTTGGTCTTTTATAAATGACATTTGTTATTAATTCTTTATTTGACAACTTGACATTGTTTCAAAAATAAGAAGATGGCAATTAACAAAGAATTTACTGATAATAATAATAATTGTTAATGGTTCCTTAGCTACATCATCTTTGTTTGCCCGGTATAATGCATAAAACTAGGAAAATTGAAAAATTAAGTTTGAAAGTGGAGCGTGATGGTCAGTGCCAAGGTATTTTTAAATTTTTATATGCAAAAATTCTACCAGTTATGAAATGTAAGAAAAAAATGAGTCAGATGTTCAGAGGCCTTATTATAATCTTAGTCCATGAAAATTATGCATTGTACTGAATTTACACGGATATCTGTAATGATTATATTGAGGATATATTAATCAATGATAACGTTCAAAAAAAGAGAGAGTTTGTTATAAAATAAGTCCAATGACTGACTGTAATTAAATACAATGTACATGGGAGAATGTTCACTGTATGCTTCAGGTGCTATGGGGATGTTTGTAACATTCTCATGACATGGTATAATGTTAGATCATATTGTAAAGAATTATCGGTGTTTCTCAACCGATAAAATCGCTTGTAATTCGATAATCGTTACTCGCACAAATGAAGTATGGAAAAATCATAATTACTTCTCTTTTTCCTTTTTTTTCTTTTTTTTAAGTGAACTCAGGAAGAAATTTTTAAATTATGAATGTTTCATTTTAAAATAAGCATAGTAACACATAGTTTATTGAAACATACATACATACATACATACATAGTAATAAAAAAGAGATTATAATAAAAAATACCCATGTATATTACATATAACAGAAATAACATCTATTTGCAAAAACAAATGTGTATAAATGTAATTACGAATAAAACCTCGATAGCCTCATATCTTATAATTTATTGAATAAATGTGACGTGTTGCTTTTTGATGCATAACATTTGTGATGACGAAGGCTATTGAGCTCGTGTTGAGAAACACCGTGAACAGGATACATTCACGTTAACATTATTACCAATATTATTCTTAATGCTATCCTCCGCTGTACTCATAATAATTATATTATACAATATTAAGATACATGAGAAATATCAATCGAAGAACAATGATGTTTAATTTGGGTTTACAATTTTATTTCGTAGCTAGTGAAATAAAGATTTTAGAAGGGCATTTAGATGTTTAATGCGAACCAAGAAGTTTGATTACAATACAAAATAATCATACTTAAAACTTAATTCTTTCTTTAGTTAATAATTTAAACAGATGGTATGAGAACAAACTTGTGCGCAGTACTTCGTGCAAGCTTCTTGGTTTGTATTCAGAAAGTAATTTGAAAAGAAATGTTAGAATTCAGTCGCAGTCTCGAATTCTTCAATCAAATGTATTCATTTCATGATTAGGTTTCATGTTGCTTTTTATTTCTGTAAGTATTAAGCTCACTCCTTAACAGTTCCTTAAAGAAATATACAAAATAAGAAATCCATATGATAACTTACTGTAGTATTCGTGGTTTTATCATCCTGAACAATATATATACTCGTTCTACGTGTTTTCAGTGAAAATAATTTTATTTTTAAGCACATAATATTACTTCAAAGTACAGAAGTAAGAGAAACTGATCTTTTCATAGTGTTTTTGGATGAAAATAGAGTGGGCAAAATATAAGTGATTGAAAATTCAAGTTTTATTCCACATTAAAATAGCTCAGTGATTATTAATTAAAAATTCTAATTCAATATATATAAATATACATATTAATTAAAAATTCTAAGGATCACATGGTCTACTACATATTTCAGTTTTCGCTTGCAAGAGCTAATGCAATGATATAAGGCAATTCATTTTCTTATGTTGTACAACTGTATGAGGAGCTATGCAGAAAATAAAAATTATTTACGATTAAGATACATTAAGTGTTTTACTTATTTATCCGATTTTGGCACATTCTATACAATTTGCTTTAGCAATATACCTTTAACAGTACTTTTTAAAAGCACTGAGAAGGGAAGCGCACGAACTTTAGCATAATTATAACATTCAAAAAGTATTAATTTTGCAAAATCATAGTGTGCGCTTCTCCGAAATAGAAAAGAAATTTATGTAAAGGTTTTTACTCCCATGGTAAGATATTCGTTAATCCAATTTTTTAAATTACTAAATTTTCAGATTTTTAAATTTCTAAATTTAAACATTTTTTTACTAAAATTTCTTCCTTATTCAAAGTAAGTGCACGCTATAATTTTGCAAAATTTATCACAGTTAGGATTTTCTACAATTATGCTAAGTTTCAACTAAATTGGTGTTCCACAGATCGTGCATTCTCCTTACAAGAATAACATAGATTAAGTTATTGTAAATCTCTAAAACTATTTACAAATATTTTTATACAAATTTTCTAAACACTTTTACTTTTTTTCTTTATATATATCATGTTCTCTATGAGAAATTTGTTAAATACAATTGAACAAAAATTATCATAATTTTACAACAAAAAGAATGATGTTCTTTAAAACAGTCTGGGAATTAGGTGAGACAGTGGCGATAAAGAACTGAATTAAAACTTCTGGCACGAATTTTATTCCGAGATTTACAACAAAAATGTTTCAACTAGTTAAAATGCCGCTTAATCTTGGGATATGAAACATTGACACGTATAACATAGGTAATACAAGACGATGTGGACAATTGAATAGTTTTGCAATGAACTGATAGAATAGATTCGTTTTTCTATTTAATTAGTGTTGTGTTTGCATGTGGATAGGCCTCTTGTGCTTCCCAGAGAGGTGGGTTTTATTTTTTCTATTAATTATAATATTCGTCAGCTGATAAACGAAACAACCGATCCTCTCTGGGCAGCCCATAATATTCATCACTATTTTTTACCGTTTCTATTCATGATATTATAATTTAGGTACAATCTTAATTATTCAATATTAATGAGAATATTAATAATTATGTTTTATTTTTTTTTTTGCATGAATTATAGATTGTAATTATAATTACTTTATAAAGTTTCTTACACTAAGAATCATCAGACATGAAGGAATTTTGGGATTTTAGCTCCTCCAATGTTTGAATTTGTTGACGGAGAAATAATATCCTAGAATATTAAGTTTACGAATTCAATTTATAATACGTATATATATTACATACTTCATGAATCGTATCACAGGTATAACTCTAAATATAAAATAGAAACATATGTATATATATACCTTTGTTCCTGTAAAGTTGCCTGAATCTCTGTCAGCCTCACTATGGATCGTGCCGTTTTTAATTCCGCCGACACTCTTGTACACTGTAAACTTCCCATTGTATGTGCTTCCTCGCTAAGTTTCTGTGCCTATAAGTGACAATTATATTCCTAGATATATCATATTATAATTACATATGATATAACTACGTTGAAAAACGAATACGAATCATGTGTACCTGTTTTTCAAGGATATCAGCAGGAAAGGCACGCACGTGTTGCGTTAAATCTTCCCGATAATGATTAGCAAGTGAAGGTGTTAAAGAAGGTGTTAAAGGAGGCTGTACTCTAGATAATGCTTGTAAACCTGTATTACTTAAATTTCCAAGAGAACCTAATGTGCTAAGATTTTGCAACGAGCTTAAACCTTGCACTCCAGAATTCGTCCCCCCAGGACTTGTTACTGTGAAAGAAAAACATAAACATATAGTTATTAAATGTTCATTTTTTATGAATTCGATCAATAAGTACAAGTTGTATCGTTCATCAATCAATATACATTTTCGAGCATCAATGCAATCCTGGGTTTCCGAATGCGTTGGAGTAGGTGGTCCCTCACTTGTTATGTTGCCACTTGTATCAACTTTTAGCGGGACCATTACATCATTTCCACTATTATTTCGGTCACCACTACCCGACTGCTGTAAACAAATAATTTTACCTATTATTATCTGCTGTTCCATAAAAATTACGAACAGTTTATTATTGATACATGTTATTAGTTGTTCATAAGACTGAAGGTATTTAAAGTAAAAGTAGACACCAGAACTTTATGTTGGAATTTTTTTTCAGGAAAAAGATAGAATCTTTTTAACGTATAATTAAATTTAAAATGATCTTTTTGTTTTCATTGCTTAGAACCAAAGATAACATAAAAAAGACAAGAAAATATTAAGTATAATGAGCACACATTTATTTTGATGTATCTTATTATTGTAAAGTAAACAATGTCTGTTTTGCATATTTCTTTGAAGAGACATTGACATTTTATTATTTTAATATCAACTATTCCACTATCATATTAATTTTAGTATGTGAATTATACTATAATTCTACTATTTGAATGTGCAGTACTCAAATAGTAATAATAGTAATAAGTACTCAAATAATAGTGTCTATGATTACTTTAAACAGACCATAAATTGACCGAGAAAATTATTTTTTTATAAGAAATATTATCCTTAAATTATAAACACACTTACTTGTCTGGACAACAGGATAGCGGCTGTTTGAAGTGTTTGCAATGCTTTCTGCGGTGTAATGACAGGTTGTTCTTTATTGCCTGTGATTTGGGATAAAAGTCTTGGAAGATTTGCTAGTGACACCGGTGGCCCTGGAGCATTACTATTTCCTTGTTGTTGCGTCGGTGAATTAAGTTTTCCGGGTGTTTGTGGTGTAGATGGTGGATGTGACGTTAACCGAGGTAATGCTAGAATAAATTATTCATTTCCTAGTATCTTTCTTGTTTCACCATTGCATTGCATAAACAAAACATACCAGTGGCCAACAAAACAGGACCTTGCGGCAGTGGGTCATGAGTGCAAGATGTTAGAGGTTCAGAAGTTGGTGTAGAATCACCTGGTGAGATATCCATGTCCTGAGCTTGACGCTCCACTCCTGTATCTTCTCTACACGATTCTCTATCTCTTTCACGTTCTCGTTCCCTTTCACGTTCTTTTTCTCTTTCTCTTTCCCTAACTGAAACATCTTCCCTACTGCTACCACCACCACTTCCACTGCATGAACTCCAATATTCTCGTTTATCGGATTGACGCGATGATTTACCATCTCGCACACTGCTACTGCTATTTGACCGCGAGTTGGAATGTTTATCATGACCTGCGAGACAAAAACATCAAAAACCAAAATCTTCTAAACTGAATAATTTTCCTGATTTTAGTTATGTTAATTAATTGAAGTTGTATGATTTAGAAATTCAGTGGTTTTATGCGTACTCTCTAAAAGTAGGTATAAACCATTTCCACATTATAAGAAAAAGTATTCTGATAAGAAATAATTTGAATTAATCTTCCTGAAGAGTTATACTTCATTGTATATGTTTTACGTATAAGTTAACTGAATTTCTATAATTAATAGGATAACTCTTTTGCTGTGCACTATGTACGTACAAAAGATATACATATATTATTATCGATGAATTAGTATCAAGTTATAATGGGAATAACATTTGTCATCTAAGAATCAAGACTGATAATAAGTAAATTACTTCCTAAGTTTTACTCAATGATTTACAACTATTACACAATTGATGTCACAGCAAGAGAATTGGTAACATGCAAAGTTCAATCATCTGTTTAATTAAAAACATTTATTTAGTGATATAATATTGTTAAACCTACTTGACCTAGAAGAATAATCATTAGATTGACGTTGTCGATTATCTGTTCGACTAATCCATTCCCGTGGTTTTTCCCACTGAGAAACTTCTGTTTTACAGTTGTAATAATACTTCTTCCCCGAAGAACTCATGTGCTCTGACCAATCACCGAACCTGGCCGAACGTTCCATTGCACCTCCTCGCTCATCACCACGTTTATCCTAAACAGACTGTTCTAAAATTTCCGGAAACGGTTGAATCGATGGAAAATATTTATACGAGTTCCATAACTTGTTCGAAAAGATGAAATTATTTGTCCACGTTGTTGACCCTGCACACCTATCAAATCTTAACTTTTCAATACCTTTTTCATTTTAAGAAAACTTGTAGCTTTTCAACGCTAAAGTTAAATTTTTGCACCAAGTTTTATATCAAAGATAAAAATATATTCATTTATGTTAGTTTATGAAGAAATTGAATATATTATAATAATAATTGATATACATTTAATTGATTATGTATATTGAAAACAAATATTTTATCTGACAAGAAAATCTTTTAAATAATAAGTTGTGAAATAATATTTGATACTGACCTGACAGGAATTATGTGATAATTTCCTTTGAGATGAAGACTCTCTTGATGAATTTGACGATAATTTTATAGGATGTAAAATCTGTAACAATAAAGAAACATTTATGATAATATATATAAAACATACTATTTACATGCAGTTCTCATATTCAAATAATTGCATAAAACATTTGAAACAATTTTAGAAAATATTCAATACACAATATGTACTATGTTTACAATATTTTATGTAATTAAAACATGTTGATTATGTTGTAGACTGAAATTACTGTTTAATAAAATTAAATATTGAAAAAAAAACATGAGACAATTCTGTATAAAACTTTCTTTCCAACCCATTACTAAAATTAAATTTATAATAAGTAATATCAAGTATTATTTAGTTCTAAATATAATTAGATAGTGAATAAGAAATTTCTTACCTCTCCACTACTCCTATCGTGGTTGGTCCTGTGTTCTGAATCTCTGCTCTCACGGCTTCTCTTGTCTTTTGGGGATCGTGCACAATCTACACATATGCAAGCAAGCATGTTACAGCTGAAAATGTTAAGACACAACCCTGTTTTTATACTGAAGAAAGAAGAATTAGATCTTTAATTCTCAAAATAAACAAAGTTAAACAGTCGATTTTGCCATAACAGGTTCCTGTATATAATTTGAACAAAACAAAAAACTTATTATCCTTAATGTACAATTGTCTGAAATAAATATACATAAAAATGTTTCTTTCGCATATTCATATTTCATATATAGTTATTATTCTATAATATTTTTTACATTTGTGTACAGATTTAAAAAGCTAGTCAAGTATAAAGATTTTAAAATTATACTCAAACTTTACATATAACAAAGTATCAATAATTAATTACTTAGATACAGTATTCAGATTGATAGTATTATAATACTAATCAAGATTTAAATGAAAATATATATAATATTCAAATATATCTCACTTACATTTTAGATTAATCACATATACAAATATTACACTCCTTATCCTATTAATTACAATATATAATATTAATTGCATTCGAATAAATAAAACTATTTATTAATATGATTACTCTTGTATTTCCAACTAATAATATTTATTTATTAATTGCTTTAATGAATTTAGTTCTTTTTTTATTCATAATGATGCCTGTTCTTCTACTAGTTATAGCAAAAGTGACTGTATTATTACTTTACATAAAATAATTGCAACCACTGAGTTTTCTTGATACAATATTGTAAACATTGATGACCACATTCTTTAGACATCTTTAGCAATTTATTTTAAATATCACATTAAAATATATAAAACCCACATTATATTAATTAATTAATCTTCAGAGTACTGAGTAGGAGATTTTGGATCCATTAAATCTGTTGTTTACATAAAAATAAGTATTGTAAACTTTAATAGTGAAATACAACTCTATATAACATTATTACATCAAAAATAATGTTCACATTAAATTACTTTTTCGAATTTTTAGTAGGGAATGTTACCCTACTCTGTTTACATTTCAAAAATTGAAAAAAAGCTTTGTACTCTGGAGGTTAAAGGAAAGAAAAATGAAATTTAATTACCCGAATACTTGTCCCTAGAGGAGGATAACTTGTAGTCTCTATTTTCTCTCTCCTTCTTGTAAAGGGGTTTAGATGTGTAGCTGCGAGGACTATCTCTGTCTGTTCCCATGCCCATACCCAAGCTCGCTGCTGGACTGTAAGAGTTGCCATTTGGGGAATCTCGCATTCGTCCTTCGTAACGACCATCTGATGATGTTGTTGATGAGGAATAGCCACCCTTAGAACTGCTGTATTTTGCGTTCTGTAAATGAAAATATTTCATATGACTCAAAAAATCTTTTACTTCTATTTGCTTATAACAATTTAATTACTTATTACCAATTATCATTGGTGAAATATGCTTCCTTACAATTAATATTTAACTGTGATTTTTTCCAATTGTTATTTACAATTTACATTTACTAACAATATTTAAATAAAAATAAATGTTGTTAGGTTCTTATATTCTACAAAAATGTAATATAAATGTAACATAAATATCTATAATCTACAATATAAAAATAATCATGTAATGATGAAAACAAATATACAAATTTATATTAAATCCACATGAAACACACTTTATGAAGGAAAGAGTTAATAATATATTTTATTTTAAAGAATAATTTAATATAAGTTGCATAAATTACATAAAACTTAATGAACCTATTTAATACAACTGCAATATGAGATTATTCAATATTAATAGAGATGTGACTTTTATTAATAACTTATTACATAGAAAACTTTAATTAAAATGTTTGTATAGTATTTCTAAATCACTATTACTAATCTACATAATGAAGAATGAATTATTGATTTTCTAAAAGTGAGGTTATATTTACAAGATGAAAAAAAATATTAATCTTTCACAAAACCTAACAAATTTATCACAATTTATATATCATTTTTATTGTAAATCACTGTAAATTGTAAACCATATGAATTTCATGCACATTTGTAACAATATATACTCAAGGACAGTATTGTAGTTAATGTTTTAAAACCAATACAATAATTCCATTATTATTAACCTAAATCTTTTGGCAAAACATTTGCAGCAAAAAAAGCAACCTTTTATGCATAATGAGCTTTAATAAAATGCATTCAACAAATGTGCATAAACAAATATTTATATCCTTTCGGTGATCAATATATATTGTCAATATTTAAGTACTGTCAAAGTGATTTCATGACAATATTAGAAGCTATAATAATAGAAAAATTTAAAGTATTTCAAATGATCTTTCAATGACAAAAAATCAAAAAGTTAATTAGATATTTTCCTTAAGTGAAACAGATTTTAATACAACTGTATTTTACTTTACGATAACTGAATCTATTAAACTTAATAGCTCTTCGAAATGTACAGAAATTGTATAAAAATAATTTTGAAATCCTTTTGGGAGTAAATATATGAATTTCATTTAATAAATTTGCATGAAAAAAAGATTTCCTTTTTAAAAGTCATTCCTCTCCCATATTCTTTACTTTTTTGATCGATAATATTAAAATAATAACTGTATTAGGTTTCTTTTAATTAAACACCATTGAATATTATGTGAAAACTAAATGTACTATTATAAATATGGAATGTACAAAGTAAATGGACTTTGTCAATAAATATTAACAATATCAGCAATATATATTGATCATCTGAAGTACCTTTAACATTAAGAAACACTAGATAAATATTAAATGAATTTATATACACTCAATGAAGTTGTTAGTTTTTAGTGCATGAAATATATTACTGTATGTTTATAGAAAGAGCAAATTATTATTACTATAGAGTTATTTTATGGAAAATGTAATGTAACATATACATATAATAATGTATACATCACTAATAAATACACATAAAAATTGCAGTGAACTAGCACCATAATAAAATGAACAAAATACGCGGGTAAATTACACGGGAAACATCACACACTGAAAGAGAATGAGGTCTCTAATATTTAGTAGCAATAATCAATTCTTTGCAAATAATTTGTGCTGATCATTGTTTCGTTAGTAACGAGCTAGAAAAAAAAACATGATTTGGAAAATGTAAAAGATTCATGACACAGATGATCGAGCGATTTTCGCCGAAAAACCGTTAAATGAAGGCACGAATTAGATATTTTCTAAACAAAGATGAAAAATAATCGCGGTAAAATTATGCGTGCAACCGCACTGTAGATAAATTACCCCCCTCCGAAACCCCCAACACCAATTGCTCGATGATATTTACCTGATAGGGATGGGCCTGGTGCTTTTCGAAGTACCTGAAATCATACAAAGTAAATGATAAATAAAATTGCTAGACAGCGGGTGTTCCTTGATGGAAAATCGAATTTCCATCGAGGAAAAACGTCCCGCGAATGGCGGTAGTAGTGATGTCGAGTGGGTCGGATGGACGGACTTGGTGATGAGAGGTGAGGTGAGTAGAGGTTGGTTGTGTCAGGATTGGGTATTTGACGGCGGTACCCTACCCATCGCTGATCCTTTGTGGTTTCCTCGCATGCATTACCATCAATGCCGGTGTCTGTGGGAAATTCGCGGCCTCGGATGTTCCCTTTTCGGTTGGTCAATGTCATAAAAACAACATTAACGCTTATTTAACAGTCAACTTTCTTTCTACCCGGACGCCATGTCACATACGTGATCGGCCGCTAGCGGTTATTATAGCTGAAAAGTTCGTGCAACGTCTGCGCTTCTGTGTGCAACTTCTCTACTCAGGGGCGTATATACTGAATGCTTGAAATTAATAAATACTACACATAACACAACTTGTATTACGGTATATTTAAAGCACAGAACAAGAAAAATAGCATTCATTCCTGTTAATTCATTGCATACGACTATTAAACAAACTGTTTGATCGCACTGTCATATTAAGCGAATGTTCAATACAATGATTTGAGTCAAATCGAATCGAATCATGTTAAATTGAAAAGTGCAGTGTTGAATCACCGAATTGAATAAAAACGTGCTAAATTAAAATATGTTGAATTGAAACACGTAAACCTTTTGACCGGTAGATGAGGGCTCTTCGATAACAATGGTCATTCCTGAATTTCGAATTTTCGTAGAAACGCTTCGAGCGCTGCGATCACGACGGCGTTAATTTAGCGTCGGTGCCAGGCGTCGTGTTTCACTCAATTTTCGAAGAATTATAACAACTTTTGAGTACGACAACCAACGGCGCAGGTCACATCAAAATTATCGTCGCATGCGACTGTGGTGTTGCAAACACGGAAAACTAAAGCAATGAGACTGTTAATTCACAGCGAATAAAGAGTGACAACTGTGCCCGTTTAATTTTATTTTCTTCTGGGTATGTAAATAGCAAGCGTTATAAGAGCACAAATCAAGGGAGTGGGGGCGTTTGCAATGTCGCACATTAGACACGCTCTCAAACAAAGTTTGGATTAGGAAAAACTTGCTCTCTTTTATTATTGACTGTTGTTTTTTTAGATTTCTTATACGATGTACTTTATGACTAACACGTCAATTATAGAAATATAGAAATTGTATTGCATGCTATATTGGAATTTGTATAAAAGTAATTTAACTTTACTTGCTTTCTTTTAATTGATGTATTATCGCCGAGAAAAGTAGGTAATGTCTCGTTTTAAACAATTCGTAAATATGTCATAATATTACAACGTTTAGTCTGCTAATAATTGTTTATATCATATATAATAAAAGTTACATGTTGGTGTTGTTAATAAGTAAAACAAACCTCAAATGATCAATATATATTATGAATATTGTTAATCTTTGTCGACAAGCCATATTTACATTATATGTTTAATATTTATTAATAATATATTTAGTTTCCAGATAGCATTCAACAAAGTTCCGATGAAATCTTAAATTTAGTAGAACCAGATAGTGCAGAGAAAGATATGTTTATGTGAAAAACTTTGAGAAAAGAGTTATTAACGCCTAGAATTAATAAATGTATTATTTATTTACTGAAAGATTATTTGAATGCTTATAGTTTTCTGTTATAACTTTCAATTAAATTGTTTCCTTGATATCTAAATATTGATAATATATATTGACTATCTGAAGCCTTTTTAATATCGTTTTAAAATACATAAATTAATTGTATAATAATATAATATACAATATATAGGTTTCTAGATTTTGTAAAATTTGTTTTTAATGATAATTATGGCTCCACCTACATCGGAGATGGAAGTAACCAGTTCGTTTACTTTAAATGACAGTCTGGCAAATAATAATTCCGCAAGTAATAAATATTACTATTCTAATATGTTATGAGAGGCATAAAAAATAAATATATTAGCGAGTGTTATTTTCTATCTGATAATCATATTAAACATATATTATTAAAATAAATCACTATTTAAATTTTATACGTCTCATATAAATATGTATGCATAACATTTCAATGTTATTTTAACTATTATGTTTTTATAGCACAATTTTATAAAAAGGAAATAATGATGGATGAAAGAAGTCAAATGGATTTAGTATGGATACACAATAACTATGCTAATATACCTATAAAACATGAAACCCAAGAAGCTTTGAATAGTCAATTTATTGATGATAAGTTATGTGAAAATATATTTCCATGGCTTAATAAATTTAATAAAATAATGTGTTCATCTGTGGGGAATAAGAATTACCAATTATTAAAACATTTAATTCTTATTTATAAACAGTAAGATTGTTATTGCTTATTATATAAAAGAAACACTGGACGTATCTAAAATTAAAAATAAATTATATTTTTATTAAATATTTCAGAAATATTTTAAACAGTGTAAATATGTATTGTGAAAAAGTATTAGATATGATAAAATTAAAAAATCATATGACTAATACATTAACGTTCTTTCATCTTTATTGGCATGAAATTAAAGAGGTATTATTAATGTTATTACTTTTAACTGTATCGAAAATTGATAGAAATGTTAATTTATGAAAAACCTAATAAATGTTTTATAGGATGCTGATGATTGTGATTGGTACTTAAATGAAATGTCAACACTACTAGGAATATATATTGACATGGAACTTCAAACTTTTAAACAAAATATGGATTCTTCTAAACTAACAGCAAAGCTTCTTTCATTATTATGGATATACTTAAGTAAGTTTACATTTATTATAAAAATTAACATCTGCGTAATAATTATGAACTTAATTTTGTTTCAGATAATTCAGAGAAGCATATATTCAGAGTATTACTTAAACTCAAATTTGTTACTAAAAAGTATTCAAAAATATGTGACCCTATATTCATGTATGTAAATATATAATATTGTTATCATTAATCAAAGCAAATGACATTTGCATTATACAGCGTTTTATACAAATTATTTTTTTTATACTAGGAAATGTTTTACCAATTTAGAGAAAAATATGGAATGTTTGATAGATATAGATTATGTCAGATATTTGCTTGTTTTGAAACTATGGAAGAGGATAAAGGAAAACGTGAAAGAAAAGAAAGAAGTGAATAAAATAGCTTTAATGATACTAGGATCATGCATACCAAAAATGCGAGATGAATTATCGAAGATTATACCAAAACCACCCATAGAACATGAAAATAAAACTATTTGGTTATTGCAACCAAATGTATTTGATTTAAGAACAGCATCTAATAACTTCTTAGCATTTGAAGATGCAATGTCTATCTGTTTCAGAGATTCTCATTTAACAAAAATCTGCAATTTAAACGATTATGATACTTGACAGGTAATTCATATACTTTAATTTGTTAACATAGCATTTATTTAATATTTTCTTAATTCTTTAAATTTCTAGATTTTGTTTTGTGATATTCAGGAATGTACTATGAACCATGAGTTGAAGAGAACTAAAGTAAGCAAGTTAAAAGATGACTGTTTCTTTGAGAATGAGAAACAATCTCATAAAACTATCAATCAAATGTTTTTAATTAACACGAGAAATAAATTTAAGAAACATAAAAAGGTGTCGAAATTAAAGCCTGGAGAAGTAATATTGATTGATTTAACGAAGGAGGATGAATCAATGGTAAACAAGAAGAAGAATAAAAAGAGAAATAATAAAAAATTGGAATGGTTACAAATGATGAAGAAAAAATATAAAGTACAAAAACAAAATAATGAAGTAAAGTGCAGTGATCAAGTGGAAATTACAGATAAGAAAGAAAACTCTGAAAATTTAATGGATAAAATTCTTTTGGAGTACTTGCCGGTTTTGGACAATAAAGCTAACGAAAGTACAGAAAACTGTGCTTCATTGGATCAAGAACCAATCAAAGATAATACTCATTATATTAATTCACAAAACATTTATGCTTATATTTTAAATAAAAAAAATAACGAATTAAAATGTTTGCTTCAACACAAACAGTGTGATACAAGCACTTCATCGCCAAAACAAATTAATTTACAGCGCCATAAACTTTTAACTTTATTGAAACTTCTAGACACCATGGGACAAAATATTAAATTGCCAAAAACAATATTGAGTCTACTTAGGGAGAATAGAGAGGAAAACGAAATGTTTCAAGATGCTTTTCTTTCTAAAAATCTAGCCAATAAATCTAGTGTAATAGATACTCAGGGTAAAGAAGAATCATTCTTTCAACCAAAAAGTTCCATAGAGACAATACCATTGTCGAAAGAGTGCCAAAATAATGTTACAAGTATGCAGTTTATAAAACAAGAATTATCAATAAATACAAACTGTAATACGACACAAGCTGATACTTATTGTCGTAATCAACCTGTTTATGTACAAAGTGATTGTCATTTACATGATTTTATATCCATGAACAGTCATGGTTCACAAGTAACAGAAGCTGTGAAACAAAAGGTTTCTTGTGATACTCACGAGTGTACAAGTTATTGTAAAAAAGTTGAAACAAAACCTTTTTCTTATCACAGCAATGGTATATTCAATATGATAAAGAGTGAAGACGTGACACAAAATAATGGTACAGATAAAAAATTAATTTGTGACAAAAATGTAATATGTATGTTGAGCGATCTTGATAAATGCATGAACGTTTTAAATCGTATCGGTGAACATATTATGACAGTTCATGCAGAGAAACAACGGTCAGAATGTTCTGATAAAACAGATATGTGTGCTGTTGCTACAACAGTTTTCGAAGATCAAATTGCAGGGTCCTCATCCAGTTGGATACAAAATATTAATTCATTTACAAACTTAGAGAAATTAAACAAACTTCTAGAATTATACGAAAAAAAGGAATTACAAAATGCGTGCAATTGTCAAGATTTTCACAGGTGGAATGATAAAGAAACCAATACAGTATTAAATCAACTAAAATATGACTCGAATAACTGTAAAAAGATAATTGTTTCAACGTCTCAACCAAAAGAACATTATTCTCATGGTAAAGACAATGAAAATAAGTCTTCTCAAAACTTTGTTTTTAATCACATAAAGTCTGAAATTGAACAGTCTGTTAAGAAAGAAGATAACGAAAGTTGTAGTATATTAAGCAAAGAATCTGAGCAAATGAATGAATATAAAGTAATTACTTCAACAAATAATTATACCCATATCAACGAATTCTTTATGGGCGATTCAAAAAGTAATAAAGAATTAAATCAAGATGTACATTGTGAATCTACATTTCAAAATGTCTCACAAAAAATTAATGTAACAAAAACATGTTCCATAGATGAATTTGAGAATACTGATATATTAGATAATATTCTGAATGGAGATATTACTATTGAAGATGAACAAGAAATTTTGGAAGATTGGCAGTCGCCACTAATGTCACCAATTAATTATGATAATTCTAACAATGTGTTAAATTGCATTGCAGAATTTTTTTCACAATCTGAACATACATATACAAATAAAAAAGAAGAAAAATATAGCACAGCAGATACAGAGATTACTCAAACGCCATTACCTGAGGGTAGTCTTGGAACAATTGGAATATTAAATTCTTTATTTGATTTTGATTTAACAAATATGGATTTTCCTTCAAAAGACTTCACATATTCCAATGTACAAGCAGTTAATCCACGGTTAATTAAAAAGACATTTGAAACAGAAATTTGTTCAATGAAAGATTATGATATCTCTGAATTCAGTTCACAGGACGAAACTTTTGCATTTAACAAAAGTGATAAAAAAAGTATATTTTCACAGAAAGGAAAAGAACTATGTAGTAATCAAAATTATATAATTGATAGTAGCGTGGATGTAGTTGGATTTGGTTTGAATACAAGTAAAGAGAAAGCACTGGAATTTCCTTCATTAATTAAAAATTCTGATCGAGCTACTAATTTTGTCAATTCAGATAACATATCTTCCGAAATGAAAGAATCATTTCCTAAGAGCAGTCTTTCTAGTCCTAGTGGTATAACAGAAAAGTCCTATATTTTTCAAAAGGAAGATGCTGTTAACCAAATAGAATGTTTTAATATGGTGAACCATGTTTCATCTGACATTTGTACTTCCAATGAAATTCCATTAAATATATCAAGACAGCAAGATGATATCCAATCATCTGATATTGAATTTGAATCTAATCCTTCAGTAGTGAAACAATCTTTAGATGCCTGTGACTTATTGTCTTCCACAGATTTAATACAGTGCAATACAAACGTAATTCCACAATGTATAGAACAAGAATGTGATGAAAGTATTAAACAAAAAAATAACCAAAAGGACATACAACGTAATTGTAAAAAGAAGCAAAATTGCACTACAAAACATAGAGTAGAAGTACGTACACAGTCTAGGTCATCCAATAGAAAATTAAAATACAAGAAGAAGATTAAAGTGAAGAGGAAAAAAGAAGAATCATCTTCATCTATTGTTCAATCTAAACGTAATGAATTGAGCTTAAGATGTTCACAGCTTACTGGCATTAACCTTCTAAATCAACAAGATATGGAAAATACACGCGAGTTACCTTTATCAACGTTTCATGTGTCATATTGTCAAAAATCACCGCAAATTATATGTACCTCTGAAAATGAGTATAAGCAGTTCAAATGTGTAGGCATTCAACGATTGAGAAATATATCTCAACGAAAACAAAAAATGTTATTGAATTTTCATAACGATACTGTGATAGATGCAATTTTCAAAGAGGATTCAAAATTGGAGAATCTTAAACCCATCATGGAAGATAACATCTCGGAAGATTCGAATGTATCATGTTCTTTTGAAGATCCACGTATGTCAGATAATAAAACTTGCATCAAACTTTTAAAAAAAAATATAGAACTTGACACAGACGTTAGTAAAGTAAATGTTACGTCAGGCAAACGTGTAACTGAAATTTCAAATAATATGCTTGTTAAGTCTGACGCTAGTTGGTTACTACAAAATGAAGATACGAGATCTTCAAAATTTATTGAAAAACAAATGATTGTGACTTTAGATGAAGAAATGCCTTCAAAAAAAAGGAAACTAACTTCTAAGTTTTCATCAAATTTGGAAGAAAATGCAGTTGTTTATTCTGTAAATCAGCAGAAACTGCAAAAAAAACATTTTACTGTAAAGAAAGGTAAAGTTATATTTTTTGTTTTTTACTTTATTTGAAACATACATTGGTGCCTTTTCTAATATTTACATCGTTCTGAACATATCGGTTTTGGTATATTTCTATAAAATACTTTGATGAAGTGAGATTCCTTGCATTTTTATAATATCAGTAATATAGTTTTATAATTTTATAAATCAAATCATTTTAAAAAAGAACTGAAATGATTCTCTTCATGGAAGATCTACACTGGAAGATGTTACTACAGTGTGTTTAGTGCCTTATGATTGTTTCACCAGTACAGTTCTTTGTGCTGACAAACTAAATTAAAATATACATATACTTTATATAAATTTATAATTCAAAGTAAATGTTTGCATTTGAAAAAGTATTGTTGAAAATCAACATTTATTTTTTTAAGAGTATAATTAACACAGAAACAAACTATAAAGTTTAGAAAATTTCTTTATCTTTAAGAATATAGTATTACTCAGGTAAGTTTATATTTACATTTTATGTACAGCTAAGTTTGTAATATATGAAACAATTACTTCTTTAGAAAATAGTTATTATATTTTGTTTACAGGTGTCATATGTGCAAGACGGAAGAAAAATACGATTAGTGAGTAAATAATAACATTTAAAATATGTACAATATTTCTAAAATAAGCCTTACTTATCTATTAGAATCAACAGGTATTTTAAATATATTTGAAAATATACTTCTACAAACTTTTACGAATTTAAGGGAAAAGAATTGCTACTGTATCAACCATCAGGCAATTCATACAAAGCTACATTACTTACATGCATTTTCTTTTATAATGAAATCAACTTTCGAAAAATATAAGAAAAAGTACTGTTAGTAATGTAACAATAAAAATATAAATAATTGTAATGATTATATTACTTTTATGTTTAAGAACAAAAAACGTTAAGTTTATTTCAAATGTCACAAAGTATTACAATTTTATAAATTTGCATTATTATACGGTAGAATTACTAGTATTATGTAATTTACTGAATTGTAAAAGTTTATATTGCAGAAGTTACTCTATTTTATTATTATGTAAGCTAATCTACGTTACTAAGTACTATACTTTTATTGTTGATATATTTCTGCAATGAAACTTCCATATTCAATTTTTAACATTTAATACAGTGTTTTTTTTTTTTTTTTATACATTATAAATACAATTCTAATTTTTATAGTGAGCAGATAATTATCTTAAGACGTACACAGAGCGTATGTGTAGGAAAGTATTAATAATATATTACTTCCAAAGAATTTTTAACAATAGGCTACGTTTCTTTTTATTTCTATTTTAGTACAAATAAAAGTATATATTGTGACATTTAGTTAAGAATTTTAATTTTTAAAATATTGTACTAGAATCTAAATTGAATTTAAGAATTATAGAATATTATAATTGAGCATTTAAAATCTTTCAATTCTTTTTTAAATTCATTACTTTGTAAATATATATATAACTATTACAATATAACATAAAAGTATGCCTTTAGATATAAAATTTATGATAGAAAGGTTTTTGATGATCTCTTTTACAGTATTTAGATTATACATTTTTTCCATTTTTTGGTTGTTATCGATCTGCCTTCGTTGTTCTAAGTTTACTATATTTTATAGTATTAGATGTTTCCATTGTACAAATTAAGCTTTAAGCAAAAATCCTTAAAAACATCATTGATTAATTTTTAGTTGTAGATGGAGGATATCAGACTGTTGATCATTTATTTTAGATTAAACACAAATATTTTTTTAAATTATACATTTAAAAACATACGAAATACCAAATACTTTTTTTAAAATTAGTTTAAGCAATATAATATAAAGTAAATAAGATATATTAAATTGCAGAAAGTGAAATAAAATAACATTAATTTTAGATGTTTAATATTTTCTTAAAGCAAACATGTATTGTTGTATCATTATTTCATCCCAAAAGGTTTGCTCACAACGTATTATCTATTAAAAATTCATAATATACATCAATAACAACTTGGTGTTCTCTCATTTAGTTGTTTTATATTTAAATGTTATTATTTTGTACAAGTGATTGCAAGCCAGTTTCTACAATTATGATATTATTATTGATAAAGTTTGAATATTGTGTACTATTTATATTACATATGAAAAGCTTATAAAAGTACTAATAGTAAATACAGAATAACAAAAACTCTATTATTTACTGTTTTTATCACTCATTTATATCAAAAGTATTCAATTTATTAATAGTTACTACCTTAAGAGCAATCCTCAGATTTGTAGTTTTATTATAGCACAGAATAATACAGAATGAAAAGTATGTCATGTTTCTTAAACAATTCATTCAGCATGAGTGAAACTATGTAGTCATTTTTGTATGGCAGATTTATGTAAGAAATGTAAACAGACAAATAATATTAATGTAACAATACTTTTTTTAATGAAAAATTTATTAATGTAAAAAATTTTAACATAAAATTCACATATTATAATAGTAAGTTCAGTTGATACGTGAAAAGTATTACTATAACGTTTCAATTATGCTAATGCATTAATAGTTGAGTTCAATTATTTAACATTAACATTGTTTCCAATAAAACAATGTGTATATATTAATAATTGAATATAGTTCTTCATTGTTTTGTTCTTAATTAGTTATAAATATCTGTGGTTTTTGTTCGTTTAACGTTTTTTAACATAACTTAAAAATTGTGATCTTTTATCACTGAATTTAAGTGCTTGTTATTAAAAACAAACTACTAATTCCAAAGTAAACATTAATAAGTTGCCAGATTCAAAATTAAATGTAAAAACATGGGTATAAATTGTTTTATAATTATATTATTAGACGATTCGTTTAAAGTAAAATGTATTTCGTGTTTCTTAATGGAACTATACAGGGCACTTTACTTTTATAATTATATTTTTACATGTATGTATATTCATATTTGTGTACATACAAAATTTTGACAATACGTAATTGCCTACATACATATTTTAAACATACTCTAATAAATTAATTCATTGAGTATTATTATATTGCTAATATTTTGTATACGAATTACTAATAGATCATTTTGGTATGTTTAAAGATGATTATATTTACAATTACTGTACATAAAAAGTTACAGATATATATTTTTGTATTTTATTGAGTTTAAAATAACTTTTATTTCTATATCTCCTACTTTTAAAAGCCTAAATAAAAATATATTCAGTATATAAGAAACTACAACTATGTATCTTATATGCTCTGAAATTTAAAATAGTTTTATTTTTTATACACATTTCATTCTAATTTAATCTTCTGTATGACAAATGACAATATAAATTACTATATCTATAGTATACTATGATAAGTTATATTAGAGAACAAAAAACATTTATATTCGCAGAATATGTAAGTGATAAATATTTATTAATGAACATATAAGTATATCAAAAGTACATTTTACAAGAAAAAAAAAAAAAAAACAAGTATTACTACAAACGAAAACTTTGTAGATATGTAATTTTACTAATTGAAGTAAAAATTGGAAGAATATACAGTTAATTTACCCTGTTAAAAATGATTACATTTAGTACTAATTATAAACATAAAAGATAAACGCATGGGAGGTAAATGTGAGGTAAGTATGTTGGTAAATATACTTTTTAAACAGTTCAGCCTACGTATCATACAGTATATGTAATTTACAAGTATAGGCAAATATGAGTTTATTATTATTTATTAATATGACAGACTGCTCTACACAGACACAATAATGAATTTTCTGATGAACACTAATGAATAAGAAAATCAACATGGTGTTACTGTATTAAATTAATATTTGTCAGACTTCTCTTAACAAATGTTTTACACCGCATAGAACAATTTTCTCTAAAAGTAATCATATCCATTTTGCATGTATCACTTGAAAGCAGTTGGCAATTATTTGATAACATAATATTAATCAGTAAATAATAAATCTATCTGCATACAACTTAAAACTATCAGACTTTTTTTTCAATTGAATAAATAAATAAATGGTAACGACGTGAGAACTTAGGAATATCGTATACATCTGAATTTATAATATTGCATTCTTCTTGTCAAATATAAAACTTACAACTATTTGTAAGCTTTGTACATGTAATGAACTTTTGTAGTATTTATATTAAAAATGTTTTATCATGAAATAGTAAAATTTGATTATGATAGTTTTATGATGAAAAATGAACTGTATATTTGTTGATGTTTAGTAAAACCATGAATTTCGGTATACTTTTTATGATAAAATATTCAAGTAAACATATTGAGTGAAGTATAATATTAATTAACTAGTAATTGTAAACATGAGCATAAAACATGAAGGATATGGCACTGGGGTAAAATCATTTCTTACTTCCAAATGACTGAACACAATTCACATAAAAAAGAAATGAATACACCATAAGTTTAATTTTCAATGATGATTAACTCATAAGTTTTTTTCGGACGTTTATCCTAATATTTCTCATTTAAAATTTGTACAATAAGGTATATTCTACCCACATTTGGAAAGAATAGTTGAACAATTATTAAAAATATATCTTGGATCTTTAAACCGTAAATTAATGTAAAGATGCTATTAATTCGAGTATCATATTAAATGACTTTGTGTAAAAAATTCTTATCATTTTAATAAGTATATAAAAACTAAAATGCTTCTTTCCGTAAATTCTATATGATGCTTTTAATTTTAACCTGATTTCTTGAAGCAGCTATTATTTTGTTGTAGTTTCTTTTATAAATATAATAAAAAGATTGTAATTTCTAAACAATCCATAATGACTAGTGTTATCTGCATTGTGATACATATCTGTGTACCTATAACAAATTATGGTATACGTATTTAGAGGATAGATCAAAAAATTAAATGTGACGTATCTCAAACTGTATATGAGTACAATTACTTCTATGTCATTTGGCAAGTTTATTGACACTGTGGAGTTAAGTATTTCCTTGAAGTCCTTGAATACGAGGAAATAATTTAATCTGAAATGTAAAATATTGTTATTGTACAACAAAAACTTCTCTTACTAATATAATTCACATCTAAAATATTACATTATTGTCTACGAATAAATTTTACACAATGTAATGTATACTAAATTAAAGTCTTCTTATCAATCTTACCTATTCAAGACTTGTTTGGCAACATTTGATTTGATCAGCAGCCTGGTTGTCTTATTTGTTTGAATTTACAAAATTCTTTAAACTGTAAAATGTAAAATAAACATTAAAGTTTAAGGACACTAATTTAACTGTTTACATTTACATGCACTACGTTTATTTGTAATTTTAACACGTTAATACTATTATTACCATGTAATTTTATTAAAAATATACTGATTGTAAATTCACAAGATTTCATTCTTGCATTTAAACATTTAATTAAGCTTTAATATTTCTAAATCCGACAATTTTAAAATTGAAATTTAAAAAAACTGAGAATCAAATTTTCAATCCTTTCAGCATAACAGTTAACATGTTAAACTCATGTAGTATATTTGTAAGACAAGTTCTGCTTTTATTTTCTTGTTTATACGATCACAGACATTATTTGAACTTAAAAATATAAAAACTATCTTACCTTCAGTAGAATGGTGATAAAATTGAAATTTCAGCATGTTATTACTTTGCATTACTATATCATGTATGTACATAATTATATACAAAATCAATTCGTTTTAGGATGTAAAAAATCTTTAGTCTTTTTGAAAGATAAAATTCTAAATTCACTAAATTAGAAACTAAATATAAGTGAGCAAATCAAAGAGGAAACAAACAATATGTAATACTACTCAGCCTTATACGCAATAAATTTATAAACATTAAATGATCTTTTATAGTTTTGTATAAAATCTAACGTGAACACATTATGATCTAAATCAGTGATGGGTAGATCAACTGTGCTCGTTGAAAAGTTTACAGGGACGAACGTGCAATCATAAGATGTGCAAAATGATATTGAATTCATGTTTTCAGATCTGTAAGTTAGACTATAATAAACTCTTGTTATATTGTTGATTGAGCAAGTTTCCCTTCATATGAACTTTACAAAATTCTTTCATTTTGAAATCTCCAAACTTTCAAGTTTCAAGTTTTTAAACTTCAAAATTTTCAGTGTTACAAATTTTGGAATTATAACATTTTTAAGTATTCCAAATTCTTAATGTAGAAATTTTCAAAATCGCAACCATTCAAATTTAAAAACAGAAATTTTCAAACTTGCAAGTATAATATATTTGTATAAAAAGACCTCCTTCCATATTATCGAATACAAGAATTTTTTACTCGCCCTGCAACGTGACAAGAGTCTACTATATCCATAAGTATTCGTGAATGCACGCTGTTTACACGTCCATGCATTGTACTCTTACGAACGCAGTTACTCATCATTGATCTATATAATCTATAAACATCTTCCAGGTTGACGCATCGAGATCTTCAAAAAAAAATCTTCAGTGATGTTGATCTTCAGTAGTTGTACCATGCACGCAAGTTACCGACAGCGCACGAATCTTCCAGAGACGATTCTTCCTCCGTTTGTACAATATATTTACAATTTTACAATGCCAGTCTTATCAGATTAATGTACACTTTTTGTTAATTAAAATTCAGAACAAACATTTCTTACAATAGAGAATTTTTATAATGAGGCGGTATCAATCATCGACTAGTCTTTTTGCGTTTGCGTTTCGACTCACCGGACGGATTCCATTCTGGATCAACATCGGTGTAAGAATAATTAACTTTAGGAACGTTTCTTTTTGAACTTCTCGTTTGCCGTAGTGGTGTCTTTTTAACCTTCTTATACGTTCCCTCCATTGACTCCATTTCGAACCGTTTTAACGACGTTATATCCGCCAAATTAATTTCTTTGTGTTGCGTCGTCGTTTTAACCGTTTCATCTGCCTGATCGTATTGACGTTCTATCTTCCTGGTATTTTCCTTTACAAGATTTTGATGCGCACCAGCAACATCTTTATAGTATCCTCTCCGTACTAAGCTTGAGCCATAACGATAGCCGCCGTGATCCTCTTTGCTCGATAATTCTGACGCTTCTAACGCAGCTATCGACATCATAGGTACAGCAGGATAATTATCCACCTTCTCCGCCTTAATTGGCACTTCCTGGTATGCCATGGCGTGTGCTTTCAGTCTCTTCTTTAACGGCAACTTGTTGTCCGCCTCCTTCCTGAATACCTTCGAGTCGCATTGCACCTCGAGTTTTTCCAACGTGTTGCTCTGCAACAGACTCTTCTCTATTTTACACAACAATTGATCATCGTACAATTTACCTATGACGGTCTCGCTCTTCGTTCGGTCATGCTCTTGGACGGTAGGGCTTTGTACTGGCGACTGTGTCGGCAAGAAATACGGATTACTTTCGATACAAGACACATGAGTATCCGCAGTCGGGTGTATGCATTGTCTACAGTGCGTGACGATGTCATACGTGCAGTTTAAACAAGAACATTTCGCGCGAGGCCGAAGGGAGGTGGCGTTGTTAATTTGCAAGTTGCACGACACCGAGGTACAATGCTTGTGATATGGTACGCACAGATCATTTGCAGCACAGTTTCCGTAGATTGATGGCAAAGTGTTTGGATGAGTTGGAGGTATATGTAGAGAACGTTGGGCATCCACTTCATGAGAATGCGAATGAATACTGCATCCCGGAATGACGCAGTTCGAAGCTATATGATTAGATATGTTGTTAAACTCTTGTTTAATATTTTGACGAAATTTAGAAGATTTCCGCTTATCCATTGATTTGCTCATTACATTCTCTTGGTACATTTGCGAATTGACGGGGAGCATATCGGTGGACAACGAAACCTTTGAATAGGACTTTGTATCGGAAAAGTTACCGTCTTCAGGTTCTACCTTGATTCCTTTACCTCTGGCAACCGAACATTTGTTCTCTTGGTAAGGTAACTCTTTGTTATACAAAGTTAGTTCTAGATTGTACGACGCGTGATCCAAGGAAGTAACTGCTTCGAACTGTCCACACTCTTCAGAAGATATCCAAGTTTTGTCCTTCAATTTACTTATCTCTTCGTCATTGTGGTCTTTGGAATTTTCTACCGCCTTGTTTATTATGTACAAATTGCTGTTGGGAGATTTCTGCAGTAGAACCACGGTCTCTCCGTTGAGTATTACGTTTGTATTCTCTTTCAAGGTCTGTGTGTTTTCTGCAGGGGCCAAATTATTTGTTACTGCATCTGTTTCATAATTTATCACTGTTTCGGATTGAGAAACTACTTTACATAATTCATTATCGTTGGACGTTACTTCAACATGAAGAGCTATTTTATTCAAAGCATCTTCTGGATAAATGCCAACGATTCTGTTGATGATTTCTGAGGATGGATTTTTAAGTAATTGAGAAACTGTGTTTGATGAATCATTAGTATCGGCTTCGTCATCGGTGATTTGATTGTAGCAGGTGTACTTTAAGGATGCGTAATCTTTTACCTTTATTTGGTCACACTTTACCTCAGATTCTGGTTTTAAATGAGGTACGTGTTGCGAAACGCTGGCTAACAATGATAGACCATCGATGCTATCTTGTAGTTCAATTTCCTGCTCTGTTATTTTGTACGACTTATCACACTCTCCCTTCAACAGTGCTTGTGGTGACAAGTGAGGCATCTCCTTACGCTCTTCAGGAACGTGTTTCTTATCAACGCATTTATTAAAATTGTTTATGACATCCTTTACGGATTTTCTAAAATTTGTATCCATACAAGAATCTTCACTTCGGCACATTGCGTTAATTGTATTAGAAATATCTTTTTTATCTATAGAATAAGATTCGAAAATAGATTCTCTGCTATTAGCAATGCTTGGTTTATCCTTATTCGCATCTTCATGATTATAACTTTCTAATTCTGTCTGCGTACAAGATTCTTCCTTCTTTGTATTATCTATTTCTGTTGGTAGTTCAAACTTTCCTTCTGTTGCTGAATTGTCAAAAGTTTCTTTTGTATTGTAGTTTTGCGTTCCAGATAATTCTTTGGATTTAATTTCAGAATTAACTGTGTTATGAGAATAGTCAGTTTCACTAGAACATACATCGTGTATTGTTTCATCTCTTGAAATATTCTGATCATTTTGTTGGAGTTTCTCAGTTATTTCATCGTTAATTACATTATACTTAAAACGATTCGATTTAATGGTATTACCTTTGAAATAATACTGACTACATGCAGCGGTATTATTTACAGCGGGACATTCCGTTTCTAGATCACAGATTTTTTTAAAACTTTCAACTTTGTCGCATGCTTCAGACTCAGAGAAAATGTCTGTTTCTATCAGTCGCTTGATCACAGTCTGTTTATTAAATCTATCGTTTTCTTTCTCATCACTGTGTATATTTGAAACATCATTGTTATTTAAATAATTATTACTAGCAACGATATCTGATACTTTTGATATTTGCTTTGTCGAAGGGAAAATCTCTGTTAAAACTGGTGTAACAGTTCCTGAAGAGATTTTAACATTTATTTCTTTAATATTGACTTCAGTACTCATTAATTTCTTTGTATTCTCTATACAATTCACTGACTCGACACTGATTTCCATGTTATTCTCGTTATTTTTATTTGAATCATTTCTTGAACTGACTTTTTTCGCGGAACGCGACGACTGAGGTGTATCTTTTGTATGATGGTTTCTTGAAACATTCAGTGGATGCTTATGATCCAGATCTTCTTGTTCCTGCCTTTTTTCTTTCTTCATCTTCATCTTCTGCGATGCCTTTACTATCTTCATATCAACCCTCTTCTTTGCCTCTTCTAACCATGGCAATTTTCTAAACTTTCTTTTTTTTACACATTTCTCAAGGACTACATCACTAGTTAAATCAATAATTACAATTTCATTGGACTTTTTACATTTTTTTTGCAAACAATCTGTATTTGATTTAATTGTATTAGGAGTAATTTGTTTTGTTGAAATATTATTCGAAAGACTACCTAAACATTTGAAACTAGTTTGCTCTTCCAAATTATGAAATTTCAAAGATTTTAGCATAGAAATAGATTCGTTTTGCTTATTCTTATCTGATATAACAGAATTTACATTATCTACATGTTCTACACGTTTAGCTGCATTATCTTCCGGCTGATGTTCAACATAAATTTCATTAGTTTCAACATAACTAAAGTAATTATATTATCTGCACATAGATGGCACATACAGCTTATTGTACGTATAAACATATACAATAAACTTAAATTATCATCTATGTTTATCAACTACAAAAAGATAACTTTAAATAATTAATATCTCATATGTAAAAAAAAATATCATGAATGATTTGCTCTATGTTTAGAAACTGTTAATAAATAATATAATAATATAAATACCATTTTTGAGTTAATACTACTGGACGAATCAATGGGAATTGCAGGTTCATCCTTCTGGTGTACACTTCCATTGCTTTTTCTGCAGTATTGTAAAAACAGTTCACAATGCTTTTTTATATCAAACTTGTGCTGCAGTAGAGTTTCTGTAGATTTTAGTTGATTTTTTGGCACTTTTGGCAATACATCTTCTAATGTACTTGGTGAAAATGTTGATGGCAGTGGCCCCAGAGATGCAAGTGCAGTAGTTGTTATTTGATTTTTTACAGCTACGTTATCATTTATTTTTCTCCATAAACAATAAATAAGAAAGTAACGGAGATACATGATACTTGTTTCTGGGTGCACAGGTATATTTTTTATTATTTTCCTAAGGAACACCATAATAAAATATAGATTAATATTAACATCATTTAATAAATAGTATATATTATGATCATTATAGTAAAATCTATATAAACATTGTTATAAATAGCCTAATAAAAACCAATTTATTGTGATTTGTACTTACGTTATTACTGGGTCCAAAATATCATGATAACTATGACACATTAGTTGTATTTTTATTAAAGTATCTAATAAATGTTCAACAGAATGCTCTGAAAGAGATATATATATATAAATGCTTTTCTTCTATTAATTGTGCTACATATTTTATATGTGTGTTATCTGTACTTATATTGAAACAAGTGTGTGAAAATATAGTCATACCTAGATAAACATAAAGACAAGAAGTAAGTCTTGCACAAATTTTATCACGATCTTCTGTTCTTTTCCTAGATACTTTTAACTCCATGTCTATGTACAGTGCTAATAAGTCTGACATATTACTTAAATAAATGAATCTATTTTGATCCTAAAAGATAACAAGATAAACCATATTAATACATCCCTCAAAAAAGTGATCTTAATCACTATAATAAATTAAAACAATAAAAAATGTTTACCTCAGAAAGCTCTCGATATATATATAAGAATAACATTAAGGTTTCACTAACAAAGTCCTTTAATTTTTCAGCTTTTAAAGGCTTCATATAACATTCACTCATACTAGCACTTACATTTCTGGAAGGAAATTACTTATTAAAGTATTCTTTAATCAAGATAATTTAATAAAATAATAAAAAATATCAAAAAAGTATAGCATGCAACACATTTCAACCATTACTTAAAATTCAAAAAACATATATTTTCTAATACCTGAATATTAATCACAATGTAAAATTGTGCACTATATAATAAATGACTGTTTATATTAATCTTAGTTTTTAGATATAAATATATCATACTAATTCTTGAATATAGATGCATTAACAAATTTATAGTAAAATTACATGGACTATTCATAAAATAAGTATATAACATGAATATTGTAACTTTATATCAAATATACTATGAAAATGTTAACTATAAAAATTACAAGACTGTATAATGTTAATTTTAAGATTTCTTTTTAACTGGTATCATTAATATAGGATTATTATAATTTGATAGAATGTACATTTTTAATTGTTTATAGCTTAATGAATTTATCAATCAATTAAAAAATGTTATCTTAAATATTTACTACTATACAATATAAATTATTGTCAATGCAAAAGCATACAAATTAATTTTGTATGAATTTCACAACATTTTTATGATTTTTCACCAGTTCCCAGAAAAATATACTACTGGTAAACTGTAATACTGGTACTATTACAATAAATTTTTAATATTACCTCGCATAAAATTGCATAAGTTCTGTTAAAGATGCCATACTTTTATCTGTACATATATGTTTGCACATTTGTCTAAATTTTAAGATCCAAGGAAATAATTCAATAATTGATGACTTTGAATCGTCATTGTTTAATTTTGGACTTTCTTCATTTATAACCATTTCCTTTTTGGTATCTGCATATTAATAAATATTTTATTTTAAAAATGATAAAAAAAAATAATTTTATAAGAATCATACAAATAATGAAATTCTAATAAAGAGATACATTAATGTTCTTCTTGATCAAAAATTAATTTAATAAATTATCAATTTAATAATTAAATTTAATAAATTTAATTAATCCAATAAATATAAAAAACTATGAGTTTAAAGCTTCTTTCTTGATTAGTACAAATTTTAAAAACTTAATTTCTCATGTATTAGATTCTATCGAAAGAAATGTAAGAAATTCTGTTATATTTTTTGGGGGGAAAATACTACTTTCTCTGAAATCCATGCATCTAATTGTTCGAATACCGACGCCTCATGTATGCATTAAACATTGTCATTTGAATCTATAAATAGAATCAATATACAAGTGCGAAAAAAATATATCGTTAAATACGTATTATCATTTTACGAATTATGAACAACATTAGACACTTATTAAATTTGCAAAATCATTTGAAAAGTTTCGTAAGAAAACTATAGTACTCTCAGTGACGAAACACACACAAAGAATTTAATTTTTGTTAAATACACAAAAGAAAATAAATAGGAATTAAAATAAATTAACATAGTAAATTCTTCAGTTGTAGAGCACAAATACACACTGCGCACAAAATAAATTTTTTCACAGAAAACTTCTACAACTAGACCGAAAGAAGTTGTCCAGAACTTTCATTTGCATTTATGAGGATTGAGACGGTGGTCACTGAATGGCAATGTCGATAAACGTAACGACAAATCGATCGAATACGCGATGAGGCTGCGTGTGAAGACTGCTAGCGTGCTTTTGGATGCTAAATATTCGTAAACAACGTTCGGAAAAAAAAACACTCGACTAACACCAAAACCGCATACCTTGCAGCAGAGCGTTTTCACTCTGCATGCTGTTCATCCGCTTATACCGGCAACAAAATTAATTTCGTCGAATTTTCGATAACTTGTTAGTCTGATATAAAAACGTTTTTCCCTACTGCAGCGTACCTCATACTACAGACCGCGAAGGAAACTACCGCGACCGCGTCTCTCCACACACTGCTCTCCCGACAACAGCCATATTGACGCTGGCATTTGATGCAACCACCGCAAGAGTGCGTACCTAACCTAAACTTCACTGTTACCAAGCTCTCTCGCCCCTCGTGATATAACAATAGACGAAGAACCTTGCATACAGGGTTCGCATGTCTTCATCCGATCGCGCATGCGCATTGACACTTTAGATGTAGTCATGCGTACTGCGTAGATCACATTTTCATAGTACACTGTCATATTATATTTAGTACATATCTGTAGAATATTCAGTGTTATATTTTTCAATTATATAACTAGTATTTTAGTAAGCAAACGTAAGTCCCGGGAATTGTGACGCTTTTATACTACTTTCTATGAAGGTTTTCGAAATATCGCGCGCAGCACCGGTGAAAGAAAGGCAGTGCGCACGCGTAATTAGAGAAAGAGCCAAGGAAGCTTTTTGCAGCGTTCTTTTTCTATTTCTCTATCGCATCCACTTACACGTTAGCGTCCACTTTCCAACACCGGTACCAAAAAGTTAAAATTCTTTTATTACGTTACATTTTTTTACTGCAGTCGCATTTATTTCGTTTAGGAATGTTCTTAATTGCTTTCTACGTAACTAGAGGCAAATAATAAAACCTCAACGCTTAGCGTTCTCCAAGGGTTGAAAGCATGTAATGGTTTGGAAATAAGCTACTGATTCGTCAGGCTTCTAGATAACTTGACCAATAGAAATCCACCAAATATGAAGCGCGCAAATCATCGGCCAAGAACAGTCTGTTCTTCTCCCACCTAAAAGCTCAATCAGGATCAAGCAATTAAGTAATTGCCACATTCGAAGCATACATATGCGTCACTTTCATATACTCATCTGAAATGTTAGAATGCTACGAAGACTAATTGTAATTATAAATTGAAATGTGGTATCTTATCAATAATTAAATGATTTTTTGTTGAAGTGAAATCTAAAGCTAAATCTAAACTGGTGGTAATTTATGTATAATTAAAATATTTATGATAAGGTAAGGTATTTACTGTTACATTTTACTAGTCTTTTTAAAGGAATAGTATCTGTATATTTATATATTTGTTTGATGTTCCATTTTACTGATTTACTATTTTACATATTATTTCATTATTATTTTATTACGTTATTAGTCCACTAATTTTTCTATACAATCATACTAATATTACACTATTTTACAGCTTCTACTATACAACTATATTACTATACTACTATACTAGTATATTACTGTGTCATCAATTCTACTATACAACTACACTGTTACTCTACAATTTGCAGTATATTTAAAATAACTAATTATAAAATAAATTATAAAATAAGTATGTACGTTAAATTAGTTCCATAAGTACATATTTTTATATAATTTAAACATGAAATATTAATTTTTTATAGCTGGTATAAGATTTGCGTGTGCTTTGTATGTTTTTTATGACATAATTGCTATTAACCCGAGTTGGATAGTATATTAATAGACCCTCGTTATATTGCCATCATTATCGATAGAGCGACGTCCCCTTCAAACAAACTTTCACAAACACTACGTTCCTTCCTTGACTATAAAGTGATATAAATTTTGTTTATGAAATCGTTATTGATTTAAATTTAAGTAAATATTTATTATATCTATATTAATAGATTACGAAAGATTAATTAAAACGAATACAGTTTTCAAGATCAATGACTTAGTTCAATTAAGATTTATAAAATTTTATTTAAAATTACAATACTGAAATACTACGATACAAACTGTAATTATTAAAATTTTATTCAAATGTCAAAGCTAGATATGACGTTAAAAACTTAGTTTAAGATAAAACTCGTATAATAAAGAAAATAGCAGTCCTTCAACCCTCTAGCATCGTTCAATAACGAATTAAATCGTAAATGATCAAGAATGTTAAATGAAATAATTCCAACGTTCAGACACGGATAAAATATTTAAAAACGGTTCCCAGACGAAAAAGGAATCGATTTGTAATTTAACGAAAATTTCAACAGCTAAAAATTGATTCAACGACGTTGACCAGGCAGAGTGCGCATGCGCAACTGTGCCTGGAGAGCCTCGGTTTACTCTCTCGGTCCTTGTCGGTCGAAGCCGCGATCCTTC